GGAGTTTTGGTCTAATTTTTTCTCTTGGCCACCAATGGGGCTCGTCGTCGTCTGTTTGTTGTTTTTGTAGAGGCTCAAAAGCGCATACAATGGAGTATTTCGTGTTGTCGTTCGAATGTAGAATGTTAGCATGTGCTTGCAGTAAATATCTCGGTAAAAATAGTCGACAGATTCTTACACGAAACGAAACGACAAACGACACACCAGCCAGCAGACATAATAATAACGACACCGGAATTAATAATATACCAATAGCGTAGGAAATACTAAAATTAATAAAAGTACACAATTCGAACTCTGCCCAATACTCTGTACGGATTCTAAGACAGAACGACAAAGAATGGAGAAAATACAAAAGACAAATGAAGAAGTACTGCAAGAAAACTGACATTGCTACTGCATGTAGGAAACCAGATTTGACCCCATTACTGATTTACAAAAATGATTGCAGAATGCAGATTTTGGACGAGTTGGGTTAAAAAAGTACATACAGAGAATTGCATGGAAGCAAAATTTCAAAAATTAAAAAAAAGTTACACAAGAGGATAGACACAATTTGGTGTCCTTGCCCCACTCGTCTGCCCTACATGAAAATTTCCAAAATGAGTATTTATTCGCAATGTTGTAATTTCTTTGAGTATGTGGCACGCCTTTTGGTTTAGAAAACGTGGTCGTGGTCGTAGTCGGCGACATGGATTTGATGAACAGTTAGGCACCTGCACATAACACATAACACATAGCACATATAACGCATAGAACATAGAACATGGGGACGACGTCATCGCATGAATAGAACATACATGCACTACCAACACATGGACCGAGGGACAGGGTCGAATCGGGATATGGTAAAAGATACATTTTTCTGTTAAAACTGCATTATTAGTAAGGTGACCATACTACTGGTCCCGGATTTTAACCTCTTACCCCGGATTTTTTTAAAAGCAATAATTGTGCCGGATTTTGATATTTTGTCCCGAGTTTTTGAACACATAGGTTTAAATTGCATCTTTGGAAATACTTAATAATATAGAATAAAAATAATTACAGTACTGATCAAATATCTGCAAATGTTATATACAAGGAGTATGCTTATTCTAAACAATGCGTTATTAGTAGTCATTATAGTAAGTTCAACTCGGAATTCAAGATACCCAGCTATAAGTCTGTAAATACTTGTATTCGCACCCTAAAGTTGTCTCAAAACCTACATATGGAAGGGTGTACGCAACATATGAAGGTTTCGAGACAACTTTTAGGTGTCAATATACAAGTATTTACAGACTTACAGCTGAGTATCTTGAATTCCGAGATTCTTACCTAATTTAAGCTTAAATGACTGGACTATAATAAGAAAATTTCTGAACACAAAATTCCAAAAGCGGGTTAAAACAGCATCTCACATTAATAAATTGGAACTTTCATTTTCAATTTCATAGATATTACCAAAAATTGTGAGAACGATTTTTTGACTAATTTTTTTAAAATAATTATGAAGACAGAATTTTATACATTTTATCATATAGATTAAAAATGAAAATATTATTAACCAAGAGCCAGTGTTTCTGATCAAAAAACAAAATTAATTAATTTAATTCAGTTTAAAATCTAATTTTTATTGCATCCCTAAAAAGTATTTATTATTTCAAAATCACATTTAAAGTCTTTACCTTTACATTTAGGGGAGAGGGGGGTGGTTGACTAAAAATCTCGAAAAATCACGTGGGGGAAGGAGGGGAATAGTAAGATAACACGTGTATTTATTTTATATCTGATTTTTTTTTTAATCCAAACATTTTCAAAAAAATTTTTCTTGTAACTAAAAATACACGTGATGTTCGGTAGGTGAGGGGAGGAGTAATTTGTAATTCATCAACGGGGAGGGGTTCAAAAATTCCTAAATAATCGATCACGTGTTTAATGGATGCCTCCTTATAAGAAAATTAATATTTTAAAATTAGTCTTTTAACAGAAGAAAAAATATACATAGCCAAAGAACATATTTTGAAACAGCTTTAAAGAAACTGGTATTTTTCATAAGACACTATTAGTCTTTAGTAATTTTGAAAAGACTAATCACAGGGGCATATTGCAAGCACAGAATAAATCCCAAAATTTTCAAATTTCCCAAAATTTAACGTTTTTTTCTAGATACAAAAAATACCTGTGGATTTGGGTAGGGGATGGAGGGGGTATTATATATTTAAAAGAGGCTCTATAGTTGTTGCTCTATTTTTTATAAAAAAATATATATTTATTTATATATGTAGATCCTTTTTAGAGCTTAAACGCTTAATTTGTTTTTAACAAATAATTATTCATACGTTCTAAATGTTTATTATTGTTAAAAGAAACTATACAATGGAATTGATTGTGTCATAGACACCTGCGCTTTAATATTTATGTGTATATGTATATGTGTATATATATATATATATATATATATATATATATATATATATATATTTAAATTTAATTCATGCTTTATACAGAGATGTAATTATTTTTTCTCTACTTTACTATAATAATCGAATAATATAATCTATTTAAAGTTCTTCTGATTGAGTAATGCAAATTAAAAATATGAATTTTATTAATATCTTAAATTCATATTGTCAACATCAAACAAAATGTTATGAAGTTTCTATACAAAGTATATATATTTTATATTTTTACGTACATAAATATGCATCATGGATTTTATAAATTATCCAACAATGACATCATTCCTCAAGTTTTGCAACCGCCAACCATGCAGGTGTTCAGGTTAAATTTTATTACCCTGTTAACCCTTTCTGGGAGGATTTATTACCCAAAATGTTGATAGAAGAATGATTCCTTTACAAAAAAATATGTCGAATTGCACTTTTGCTCATAGACCAAGCAAGCACAATTGTTGTTTGAACAATATATGAAATGAGTAACACAAACAATTGGACATAATATAAATAAATAATAAGATAAGGGGGCCCCCAAGTAATTGTATATGTCTGCTCGGCACGATTTAATCTCGGGCGCCGTATCGGGTTTGATAATTGAAGAAAACAACAACGGAAAATGAGAACACAGGCACTTACATACATACACACAGGACAAATATATACATGTATATAAAATGAAAATATTAACGAACAATGATTTCTTGCACATTTTTTATATTAAATGGTCCTAAGATTGGTCTCATGATCATTGTAAACATATATTAATAATTTACTTATGTTTACCCTGATGATGACACAAATTGTTGCTTAGAAACGTTTGCCATTCTGATATCATAAAAGGATATACATATACATATAAATATATAATTTTTTTTATAAAAAATAGAGCAAGCAGCTATAGAGCCTTTTTATATGAATAACCCCCCCCACTCATCCCCTAAATAAAAATAATCATTAAAAACTACCCCCAATATAATGACATGGGTGTCCAACGTACAAAGCCTTAAGGGCCACATTCAAAAATGTAAAAAAAAAATATTTTAGAATAAAAACCTATGTTGGGAAGAATAATTATCATATAGTACGAAATTATCATATAGTACGTAAAAGTGATTCTATATGGAGAACTCTCCTTAAACATATTGACATTGTTGTCCAACATACGAAGCCTTGAGGGCTGCATTCAAACATGTATATAGAGATAGTATCCATTTCCAATAATAATGATGAAATTCTGATATCAAGTTGTTGGCAAGAATAACTATCATTAGTAAGTAATTAATAGTTTTACTATGTACCTCAACATCTTGACATTGGTGTCAAACACACAAAGCCTTAAGGGTTACATTAGAAAATAATAGAGATAGTATTGATTTTTAATAATAATAATAATGAAATTCTAATATAAAGTTGGTAAAAATAGTTATCATTAGTACGAAATGAGAATTTACTATATCTGAAACTACTCCCGACAATTGGCACCGGTGTCCAACATACAAAGACTTAGGGACTACATTTGAAAATAGTAGAGATAGTATTGATTTTTTATAGTAATAATAATGAAATTCTAATATAAAGTTGTTAGTAAAAATAGTTATCATTAGTACAAAATTAAAAGTGATTTTATACGGTAAACTCCCCCAAATATATTGACATTGTTGTCCAACATACTAAGCCTTAAGGGCTACATTCAAAAATATACATGAAAAGTGTATATATTTTCAATTAGAATAATATTAAGTTGTTGATAAAAATAATTATCATTAGTAAATAATTAATACTTTTACTATGTACCCCAACATGTTGACATTGGCGTCAAACACACAAAGCCTTAAGGGGATGAAATCAATTTTTGTTAACAATAATAATGAAATTTTAATATAGAGTTGTTGGTAAAAAATGAAAATTGACTATATCTAACTACTCCTAACAATTGGTACTGGTGTCCAGCATACAAAGTCTTAAGGACTACATTTGAAAATAGTAGAGATAGTATTTGATGTTTAATAATAATAATGGAATTCTAATTTAAGGTTATAGGAAAGAATAATTGTCATTCGTACGTAATTAAAAGTAACATAGCTGCTTAACGTACAAAGTCCATTAATCACGTGATCTATTTTTTAAGTTTTTTTGGAGTCCCCCTCGCCCTTAGTGATATTCAAAATTACCCCCTACCCCATCATATATTATGTGTATTTTTAGTGACGTTTTAAAAACAAATTTAAAAAAAATGGTAAGAAATAATTACACTTGATATCTTACTATACACGTCCCTCCCCCACGCAAGATTTTGTGATTAAGGACTACATATGTATTTTATTCAATTTATGCAAATGATGAAATTGTGAACAAAATTGCAAGTATATTTTATTGCTTCTAACTGGATTTACTTAAAAATTATATCTTATGTACAAGTAAACAATTTTATTTTAGTTTCTTCCACTAAATTCTGATAGATTCAAAGTATAAATCTATTTTCACCATAAAGACTGTAGTGGTAGTGGCTTTATAGTTCTAATATTTCTATTCTATTCAAAAAATGAAATTTTCTCTTACCGTGAGGACATTGGATTCCCCTGGACTGGAAGGCTGTAATATCGTGTTGGGACTAGTCCTGACCCCCAAGGGTTGCCTGGGGCTGGCCGGCTGTGAACCCTGTACCCCGGTGATGGGCGTAGGGTCGAAGTTATTGACTGCTGGATTCGATTCCAGAGCCTTTTGCAAGTCACAAATGTAATAAATGACGTTCTGTATAACTTCCAGTTTGCTGATCTTTCTGTTCTTCGGCATGAACGGCACCAGCGTTTTGAGCTTCGAGATGTACATTTGGATTTCGGCGTTTTCGCCGTCGCGCGGTCTCGACACTCTGCCGTTGGCCACGGGCGAGACTGAGGCTCCGCTCGGACACATTGCCGTCACTGCTTTCATGGTAATAGGTAATGGATAGATAAATCCTTTTATTACTGCACTTTAATAAATCCTTTGACACTGAGCACTACTCAATAATAATAATTCCAATAACACTGACACTCACAACGACGATGCTGTTCAAAGTGAAAATGATCGCGCATGCACCGATCCGCCGTATTTATTCGGTTCTCCCACCGCCGACGGTTTCCGCGGAATCTGGGCGGAACGCAGCCGCGGAGCCAATGAGTGTTCGGGGTCTGGGAACATTGTGCGAGGAAGACGGCCGAGAGCCGGCACCTGGTTTTTTTGTGTGATTTGTCGATTGTCGATTTGTCCCTCTGATGAATGGGAGACGTGTGTGCACGTGTGCAGTGAAATGAAATTCCTCGACGGACGAAATTCTCACACGTAACAAATTGAAAAAAAAAATCAACCAGATAATAAACAATTTTAAATAAAATCCAATTTTATCTTTATTTACTAACTTTTGGATTGGTTTATAAGGTTTATCAATTAAAAAAGACTAATTTTT